CGAGAGGCAACACGCGTGCTCAGCCCCTGGCCCTTTCTAAGAGCAGCACCGCCTACCTTGGTCAATGACCCAGAGGGTGAGGCTGTTGTCGGGGTCCTTGAGGGACTTGCGGGGCACCACCTTAATCAGGAGGCTCAGGGCGTTGTCGCGGCCCTGGCCCGAGACGCCCGCCTCCGTCAGCAGCTCCAGCAGGTTGCCGATGAGGACCTTCAGCTCCCGGGTGGGGTCTGGCAGCAAGAAGACGTTAGGTTACACGGCGGCCCAGCCCTGCCTGACCTTTGAACTTTCTCAAGAGGCCAGAGATTAAGAAGGAGGGGGACCTGCATCCTGAGCGCTGGGCTGGGCTCCCGCTTCCCTACAGGCACCCTGACTGCTTAGAACCTTGAGGAGCCCTAGACAGTATGGCTCAGTGGCTAGAGCGCCGGGGGTTCGATTCCAGTCAAGCGCACATACCTGTGTTACAGGCTCCTCCCCGGCCCGGGCCCTGGTCAGGGCTCGTGCAGGAGGCAACCAATCAATGTGTTTCTCTCACATCGATATTTCTCTGTCTTTCCCTCTCTCTTCCGCTCTCTCTAAAAACCAATGGAAAAATATCCCCAGGTGAGGATTTAAAAAAAAAAGAACCTGGAGTAAAACAGTCACCAGGCCACTTTTCCCAAAAGGCCCGGCGCCCAGCCCCGCCCCCTCCATGACAGACCCAGGCGACCGCAGCCCCGCCTCCACTCACCCACCACGATGGCGCCCTCTTTGCCTCGGAAGCCCTTCCTGACGCCTTCCTTGAGGGCATCGAACATCACCTGCAGCAGGTGGCAGGCGGCCAGCGACACGGCCTGGTTTTCCACGCCCAGGACGGAGACCACCCGCCGCGTCCCCAGCACGCTCAGCGTGGCCACTGTCTGGGGGGAGAGCAGAGCCTCTGGTTGGGGGAGGGCGGGCGGAGAGCTGGAGCCCTAACGGCGGGTCCTGAGTGTGGCCGGAGGTTCAGTTTGGCCTAAACCACCTTCGCAGGACATGTTGCAGTTCCCCCGCTGACCCAGGAACTGTGGGCTCCGTTAGAGGCAACCATGGTCGAGTCCCTGTCCCCTGGGGCCGGCCTCCCCGCACCGGCCAGGGCAGGGCTGCTCCTGCTGGTCTCATCTCGGTGGTGGAGACACCGTGGTGACATCGCTGACACCTCCCGCGTGAGGACCCCCCTGGGGAAAGGCAGCCGGTGCTCAGGGGAGGACGGTGCCCCGTGTCTAAAACAAGCCTGCCTGCACCGCCCGGACAGCGAGTGAGTCAGCGACCAGGCAGCTCCGTGAGCAGCTGCAGGAACGACTGGCCACGCTCAGAAGCCCCCCTACCACCCCCCAGAGCAGGCACCCCGGTGTTGGTGGGGGGCTTTGCCCTTCCCCGGCCCCGGGCGGCCCCAATCACGTTGGCCTTTCTGGAGCCATGTTACATTCTCCTCTCCCGTTACAGGCCTCCTGTCCTCTGCCTCACATTGTCTTTGGAAGGCAGGATGGACGGACGGAGGGACGCACGGAGGGACGGTGGCAGGAGGCAGCCCCCACCTACCCGTGACTGGTGGTCAGAGCAGATGCCGACCAGCGTGCGCAGGGCCGCCAGCATCAGGTCGGCCTCCCCCGTGTCCAGCAGGCGCTGCAGGAGCTGCACCCCGTTGTTCCGGAAGATCTTCTCTGCCCCGGCCTCCTCCCGGGCCAGCACCACCAGGTTCTGGGAAGCCTGCGTGAACGGGAACAGTGGTTCTCAACCTTCCGGCCCTTTAAATACAGTTCCTCATGTTGTGACACCACACACACAGGGCCCGGCGGGCAGGGGCCCCCCGCTCCGGCCCCGCTGGTGACCCTGGCTATCCATTCAACCTCGCCGAACCTCAGTGCACTTCTTTGGGGGTTTTTTGTATTTTTTAAATATATTTTTCTTGATTTCAGAGAGGAAGGGGGGCTGGCAAGGGCCCCGCGCTCCGGCCCAGCTGGTGACCTGGCTATTCATTCAACCTCGCGGAACCTCAGTGCACTTCTTTGGGGATTTTTTGTATTTTTTAAATATATTTTTATTGATTTCAGAGAGGAAGGGAGAGGGAGAGAGACAGAAACATCAGTGATGAGAGAGAATCATTGACCGACTGACTCCTGCACGCCCCTCACTGGGGATCGAGCCCACATGTGTCCTGACCGGGAATCGAACCGTGACCTCCTGGTTCATAGGTCAATGCTCAACCACTGAGCCACACCGGCCGGGCCCCTTCTTTGTAAGGAGGGGAAGAGCCTGCTCTCAGGGCCGGTAGTTAGAGTATGTGGGGTCCTGAGTCCCCGGCAAAGACTGAAGGGCAGGGACGGGGCCCCCGGGGGCTTCTGGGTGAACCCCAGCACACAGGGCACTGCGGCCGGGCAGCCCCTCACCTTCTGCTTCTTCTCGGTGCCTTTCTCCTGGGGGTCTAGCAGGATCTGAAACATCTGTTCCACCTTGGCATCCGTGGAGGACATGTACCGCACCTGCGACAGAGCGAGAGCATGGGCCCACCGCCGCCTCGGGCCAGACACACACAGCCCCTTTGTTCTCCCCGGCTCCTCCCAGCGCCTGGCTCCCACGTCTGGGAGGCCCCGCGAGGATGTCTGGGTTGGGGCTAGCACCCAGCTCCCGTGGGCAGGAAGGGACTCGCCTGGCAGCTTCTCCCCAACTTCCCGCGGCTATTTTCCTCCCTGAGCGGCTTCCCGCTTGGTCAGCAGGGGCGGCATTTACACTTCCTGCAAGGGAGCCAGCAGGGGGTGAGGTTGCTGCCCACACTCCCCTCGGGTAGAGTGTCCTCCTTTTGAGTTTTTGAAAATAATCTGAATGATCAGGATCACCCCAGGCCTCTCCCTCCCCAGGGTCCTGGGTCCCTGCCCCTCTTGCACCCATGGCAACATGACTCATCAGTCACAGCACACGCTCCTGCCCGGCCCAGGTGCTCCCTAATCCTTCTCAACAAGGGCTCTAGGCAGACCCTGGGAATCAAACAGAGCTGGCACTAAAAGGAGCACAGTTTGGCCCGGCCGGCGTGGCTCAGTGGTTGAGCATCGACCTATGAACCAGGAGGTCATGGTTCGATTCCCAGTTGGGGCACATGCCCGGGTTGCGGGCTCGATCCCCAGTGGAGGGCATGCAGGAGGCAGCCGATCAATGATTCTCTCTCATCATTGATGTTTCTGTCTCTCTCTCCTTCTGCCCTTGGCTGGAATCGAACCTGAGACCCTTCAGTCTGCAGGCTGACGCCCTATCCACTGAGCCAAGCCGGCTGGGACAACGTTAAAAGAAACAAACAAGGAACAGTTTGCTTTCCCAGGTCTTGACCCCTCAATGAGGCATTAGCCATTGCATTATTCACTTACCCAAGCTGGCTGGGACAATGTTAAAAGAAATAAAAAAAAAAGGAACAGTTTGCTTTCCCAGGTCTCGACCTTTCAATGAGGCATTAGCCATTGCATTATTCACTTCTACTGTTTCGGCATTTTAACACCAAATGAGCTGGTTAATTCAAGCTTGGGTAAAGTTCGTGATGGCCTTCAGAATCTCTTCTCCTAATTATGTGAGCGCCGATGCCACACAAATAATGCCTCTTTATTTAAAAAGATTAGCAGGCGAAGCCATGTCTCCTTAGAAAAGCGCCCTCATCCCATTCCTTTCCCCAGAGGTCGCACCGGTGACGTTTGCATGTGTATTTTTAGTTATTTTTCTCCCTACTTACATACCCAAGTGTGCGTGCAGAAAAATTAGGGGGTGGTCTTGGGTGTGTCTGTGGGGAAAACATCTATAATAATAAAAGGGTAATATGCTAATTAAACTAGACAGTCAAAAGACCTTCCGGACGTCCTTCCAGATGTCCTTCCGGACGACCTTCCAAATGAAGCCAGGACTGTGAGGGCCGAGGCCCTTGCACGAATTTCGGGCATCGGGCCTCTAGTTTTAATATAAATGACATCACACTGTATGTGTTACTGTATGCTTTCCTTTTTTTTTCAATTAAGCGTCAGCCTTCCACGTCTGTGCATGCGGGTCCACCTACTCTCAACTCTCGGTAACTGCAATGTAGGACGGTACCCGGTATAGTCAGCCATTCCCCCGCTGCTGGGCACTGAGGCAAGTTCCGGGTTTACATGGAGACCAACAAGGCTGCAATCAACACACACGCCAGCTCGTGTACACGGACGGGCAAGGCTTGAGGTGCGGCAGGTAAACACATCGGGTCACCGCACCTGCTCGTTTACCACTTTAAGAGAGATGCTGAAGCGCTCCCCCAGGGAGCCGCACCAACACATACCCGCCCGGCAGCCATGAGCGGCTCACCCCCTAACCTCGCCACGTCAGGTCTCCCTCCCACCTTCCTGCCAAGTGTACACACTTTATTTATCTATTTTAATCCTCACCCGAGGATATTTCTTCTTTGATTTTTAGAGAGAGTGGAAGAGGGGGGGGGAAGAGAAATATCGATGTGAGAGAAACACACATCGAGTGGCTGCCTCCTGCACGTGCCCCGACCAGGGTCCAGGCTGGGGAGGAGCCTGTGATCAAGGTACGTGCCCTTGACCAGAATTGGACCCAGGACCCTTCCATCTGCA